GAACACAGACTACTGCCCAGGTAGCCTAAGGTAACAGGACAAATTAATGGCACTGAGAATCCCTTCATTCTACCTTCCTGCCATGACATCATACTATCTATTAGATACATCAGATCTCCCTTTGCACAACAGACAGCTAAGCAGTGCCATTCTGGAATTTGGCATCATTTTTATCATCAATATCTACTAACATAGAAAATACATTAGAAACACAACTAGTCCTTAAAGAACACAAGATAAAAACACTACAGCCTTGCTCTTCGTTCTTCACTGCCATCACTCCATAAAATACTTCTGCTAGTGTGAAGTGGGTGTGAAATACCAGCATTCTGACTAGATACCATATTACGTTACAGAGCAGTGTAACACATGTTACAGTGCAACAGAGATCAGCCCTATATACACACTCAGTAAGCCAGATATCTAACACTGTATCAGCGTATTTCAGACTTCTGAGTACTCTATTAAAAAGAAAATCATTTGTACAAGCCAACTTTAAGAAGCCTGCCATATTCCCCAGTAGAATTATTTCAGGAGGAAAATAAGGGAGGGAGGGAAAAAAAAGGATTAATTATAAAGCATGACAAAAAATTCCTGCAAAACATTCCTGCACATTCCCAAGCCAGAACTCTTCAATAGCTGCGCAGCTTCCTGCATCTGAGCATGTGACAGGTATAAATCACTCAAGGCACTTCCGTAAGGAGCTAACACAAAAAAACAGTACGATACAAGAGTGGTATTACCCATTTTATTCTGTACAGTACAGACCCTGAACTTTGAATAACCGTGAGCGCTGACAATTTTAATTTTAATCTTGCCATTCAGCCAACTCACCACTAGCTGTCACCATTGCTTCATAAGAAGAAAAGAGCCTGACTGCTGCTACTCTTGGTGGCGGGGACACGGAAAAATTAGAAGGATCTACAAGAGGAGCTACTTGAGTTCTGTAACTTTCCAGATAAGAAGACTGATGCTTAGGAGAATGCCTACAATCCTACAACAGTGATGTGGGTGCAATTTGAAGCAGATTGGCACAGAAAGTTTGGAAGATCTATGATATTTTAGAAGATGTATGACATGATAACAGAAATCCCTGTGAACCCACTCACGTAGCAGAATAGGAACAATCAAAACGGACTGGGGCAAGCCAGTGTTCCTGTTTACTTTCAGACTACAAGAAGTGCAGCAGCAGTATTGGATGCAATAAGTTTAAGGAACGTTTTTCAAACCATTACCTATAGTGCCTACTTCCATCTCATACTGTACAAACTGTCCAAATTCAGAAATGGAAAATGCAACTCAATAAAGCCATAGGGTAAAAGATTGGTGTTTTTTTGTTGTTGTTGTTTTGGAGGGGGGGGGGGGGGTTGTTTTTGTTTTTGTTTGTTTGTTTGTTTAGCTTTTGTAAATCAGCCCTATAATCTGCTTTATAACACTTCTAAATACCAAAGACAAAGCAATGCCATTTCTGATGTTCTGGTGAACCCCTCTAACCAGAGAAACCACTCCATAGCATGCAAGTTAGCTTTCCATCAAATCAGATATTCAGGTAAGAATCTACCCTCCTTTGGTACATTACAGCCAAACTAAGCTGAGAAGGGTACAAAAAGTTGGGATTACAATACCCTTGAAAATATAGATAAAGGAAAACATATACAGGAAAGAGAGGGTTATCCCTGCATTAGTTTCAGAAGTGCTACAACAATGTTTGGTAAGTTATTGAAAAAAATGTTTAATATAAATGTCTGCTTTTTTTTTTTTTTTTTTTTTTTTTTACAGAGGCTAAGACTTCTAACAGAAAGATAGCAAATATCAAGACCAAAAAGGACATAAAGAAAAATAAAACATTAAAAAAAATTAAGATGTTTTATTTCCAGGCATTATCTTCTATGTTTATGTTACACAGTAAAATGGCAAATCTGGATCAGCAACAGGAAGGAGTATTACCCTCATCTTACGACACAGAACAACAGTTTTTCTACAAAAGACAATTGATTTGTTTTTATGAAACAGGGCAGTAGGTTTTATTCACTAAAACAAGTAGTGTACTCTAAATACCATACATATATAGTACTGTGTACACTTTGCAGATGCAACAACTGATTTTGGAGAAAATACTGACTTTTTTCCTCCTCAGAAGAGAACGGTGTGTTTACAGAGGACTGGGCATACAGATAGACTGATTTCTGCAAAGACACCTGTTATTGACAGATATTCTTGACAGAAACTATGAAAAGCAAGTCAGATCCAAGTCTTTTTACCTTTTGTAGTTGTTCAAGAGTCTATAAAGATGTTTAGTTTTACATGAATTGTATCAGCATTATTATTTATCTATTTCAGAAGTTAAAAAAAATCCACATCTGAGGATACAGTTCAACTAGTAGGTTAGATTCAAGTGATACAAATGAAAAAATGTTGAACTAACAAAGCAAAAGTGCAGCTTTCTGAAACAAGACCAACTCAGGGTTCTTGAGATTCTGAAAGAAATAGTTTCCTGCTTAGTTCTCTCAGCATGTGGCCAGAAGAGTAAAACAATACCAGCTTAACAATCATTAGTTGTAAAGTACTTCCTCGAAGCAGTTCAGAACACAGAAAAGGTTCTCTTCTATGTCAGTATATACATACATTTAAAGCATCAAAAGGTATTTGTCATCATTACTGTTTTTTTTTTCTAATCAACATGAAGCAAGAGAAAGTATAATAGTATCTATTCATGAAGCACATTATATCATTTTGAAAACAGAAGGGTTACAACTAGTGCTTAGGCCAATGACAAAATGTTACTTCTTCATTTAGTTGATTTATTGATACACCTGCATTCAGGAGAGATACAGGAAGTACAGAAATGCTTTGAAGGATGCACCTTCAACAGACTGGAAGGAAAAGAAATGTAAATCAGGTTCCAATAAAAAGTTAAACAATCTTTCTGTGCAACCATTTCAACACAGTCTGAACTTGAGGGCTACCAAACACTGCATCAATCATTTACCTTAAGTGCTACAAAACGATTGAGGAATTAAATATTCTAGTTTTGTTTGTTTGTTTTTTCAAGGTTTATATAGATCATGCTGCAGAATTTAAAGAATTTTAAATCCCATTGCATTGGATAGCTACAGTCACAGGCTGTCTGGACTTCCAAAACATAGTTTGATTAATAGTTTTGTTGTTTTGTGTTTGTTTTTTTTTTTTCCTGGTACAGGAGAACTAAGCCATTCAGTCACAACACAACAATCAGTACCTTCCCTAGGTGTGATGAGCTGACTAGACTTGGCCATGCTGAGTGACAGGATCATCATATGCATGAATTGCAACTGAACAAGCTCACGTACACAAACATCAAAGACAGCCTCTGCCAACCTCCCATGCCCAATGTTTTCAAGATACCTGTCAACAACTATGCCATGATCCTCCAAAAGCTCACAGGAAGCAATACGTATATGAGTACAAGACTTATTGAAGCACACAGTAGGAAAATGATAACAAAGAAGTAAGAATAGAAACAATGATACTAACAGATAAATATATTTCAGCAATTACAGTTCGTTATCTTGTGAATAAGCCTAAGGAAATCATTCTGTCACACAAAGAAATGACAGTGTTGTCAGGTGTGCAAAGTGATTCTTCCCTCCTGAGAACCAGGAGGAACCTCTAAGCTTAGAAGGTGTTAAAGTGCAAAAGGCACTCAAAGAAAAAATACACCTCTGAACAAAGAAAAAACTCATTATACTTTGCACCTGTTTAAGAAAAAATATTTAACAAATTGGTTTGTTAATAAAGGTGCAATTAAGTACCACATCATTAAAGAAATAGGAATGAAAACAGAAAATTCTCACTAAGAGAAAAGGTTAAAGTATCTATCTCATTTAAAAAAAAAATCACTCTCCCCTCACTCCTGGTTATAGACAATCTCTTAGGAATTTGTTACTTATTAACATAGGATTACTCCTAAAATTTAGGAAAGTATTTTTCATTTTCTTTCTTTTTTTCTTTTTTTCTTTTTTTTTTTCTTTTCCTTTTTTTTTTGTGAGCTAAAAAGCTACTATTTGTTCCCAGATTTCCAAGAAAAGGTGCTACTTACTGTGAACAAACACAGCAATGAGAACAGAAAAACCTTTAGGGAAAACTACTGCTCATTTCAATATCACAAACAAAACACAAGCATGGAGAAAGTGACAAATTTTGCATTCTCTCAATAACAGATTCTCTTTCTGTTAACATTGTAAGCTAGAATAAACTTCAATCACTGTGGCCAGCAGCCAGCTCATGAATAGGCTTACTAACATCAACAAGACTATTGGTATGAACAAATGCTCAAAATGACTATGAGACTTCTTGTATGCCCTTTGTAATGTTAAAAACAGTAGGAATACCATAGCTTGCAAGTGCTCTCCCACATAGAGTAAGAGCTGAAGGCAAGAGGAATGCTCATGTGAGAAAGTGTGGAAGAGCTATAGATAAAGGCTGAATTAGTCCATTGCTTTCAGTTAAAAATATTAGAGCATGTTCTAACAAAAAACTACCAGGCTAGCAGATTCCAGGCTTTACCTAACTGAAACCTAATGCCTGAAGTTAGATTCTGATGTGTACTACTCAAGTAAAGCATTATTTCTACTGTTTAATAGTTATTGGTTAACTACATATGCAATTCTACTTGTAGAACATGAGATTTCAACCTACATTCCAAAAGTATGGAACCACGATGGTAATACATAAAGATTCTGTGAGAAAGGAAGCACCAGAACTAGCAGCAAGGTGGGGTTGCCTGCATGGTCAGCCCTTCATTTGAATGCAAATGCAATTTTGGGGCAGGCAGTTATCTGTGACATCAGGCAGGACCTTAGTAAACTGTTACCACCAGCACCTGGTAAAGCCATTGTTAATCATGTGTAGTAAAGGGACATGAGGGCTAGCATGAGTCATTTATAGAGCCAGTCAGAGCTAGAAAAGAGAGAGAAAGAAAGAGGAGGGGAAGAGATCAAACAAACACTGTGAGGAGCAGGATGTCCCAGCAAGACAAAGCCAGGCTGTGAGCACCATGTATGTGAGTTACCTTTTGGATAAAGAGACCAGCATGTATCCAGGACCTGCAAGGTGCAGCAACAACAACCTGCCAGTGCAGAACTTTGTGCCCGCTCCCCCCTACTCAGACTACATGGGGTACCACCACGTGCCAGCTCCAGACAGCCACGGACAGCCCGCGGGAGCCTGGGGACCCCACTACGGCCCCCAGAGGGAGGACTGGAACGCTTACGGCCCGTGCCCAGGGCCCTCCGGCACGGCTGCTGCCGTACAGCTCAGCGGCTCGTCTCCTGGGCAGGGCTCCTACAGTCCAGCTGAGTACAGCTCCCTCCATCCCGCTGCACCCGGGGGGTTACCTCCTGCAGGTACCGTTGGCACACAGCAGGTCTCCCCCACCAGCCAAAGGCACAGCTCTTACGAATGGATGAGGAAAACGGTGCAATCCACTTCTACAGGTATGAGGGCAGTGAGGCTATGCTGAGAAGAGATTTCCCTTTTTTGGGTGGTTGGTTTTGGTTTCTGTTGTTTTGTTGTTGTATTTTTTTGCCAGGTTCCATACATTTTAACAACAAGAAGATTTGAACAAGATTCTTGCTATCAGTGAAAAATTGTTTCAATTTTTGGATGTTGTTTTTGATCAGCTGATGATTCCTTATATATCTTCCTTGACATCCATAGCTGAAGCCAATAAAAAGCAATGCCCTTTGACAGTATTTTCATTTGAGATACGTTTTTTAAAAGTTACATCAAATAATTGCTTTTAGCAGGAGTCCAATAGATTTAAAGAAGTATGTCTGCAGAAAGAAATCATGACGAAAGCATCAAATTTCTCTGCCATCTATGCCTTATTTATTTTCCTTAATTTTTAGAGTAGACATGAATAGTTCAAGTAAAACATATATAGTATTGGGGTTGGAAATACCTTTGTATTAGATATAGCCCCCATAAATCTAAAAACAATAAAATGAAATATCTGCAGGATCAAATGCTGTAAGAACAGGAACAACAAGGAAAGACTCTTCATAGCAGTAACTCAAAATACACAGGAATATAAAGGTCTCTAGTAACAAAATAAGTTAATGCTATGAGAGGTAGCATCCAATAGGAGTGGATGATTAAAATGAAATGCTTCAGTCATGTTTAACAAGTAAAAATAAGAAGTCTGAGGAAACAATTCTCTTTGGTTGCAGGAATTAATGCAAAAAAAAAATGTAAAACTATTAAGCACACCAAAAACATCTGTGTTCCTTGTATCAACAGAAAAAAAAATAACGAAACAAGGAAGGGGAAAAGGAAAGGCAGAGGGGCACTGTCTGAAAGGAACAGGGACAATCTTCTATAGAAGTGTGTGATCCTCCAAGGTTCTGAGCAGTTTTGACACACACCCACACAGGTAGGAGTTAAGGATGCTCAGTACCTCCCCCAGAGATCCTCACAGTATCTCAGTGTCACAACTCATGGAGGTTCCCTTCCTTCCAGACCTTCGCCCTTTCCCAGTTTGGTTCCCACACACCTGTAAATGTGGTTTTCAAAGCCAGTATTGAATTAATCTCTGAAGGGAAAACTATTACTTAAACATATATTCTACATAAACAAAAGCAACTAAACCAAAAAAATATCTTTGCTAAAATAATGCACCTATTTTGCACAGACACAGAGTCATATCTACTCCTGCTCAATGCAACTTTAGCTCACAGAGAGTCCATTGGACAGAGTATGTTCCTTACATTGGGTGAACAAGAACTTTGCAAATACAAAAGACAGAGGTTGCTGAAGACTTTTTTATTTTAAAATACATATCTCATAGCTGTTCTTCATTGAATGCCACTCAAGAAAAGACAAAAGAGGGCCAGTCTTGTAAAAACTTACTGCTCTTTTGCATAGTCCTTATGAATACAATGAAAATTCTCAAGGGCAGTATGATTTACAAATGGCAACATACTTGCTCCAAAACCACTACTATTTCTCTTTTCTTCACCTACCTGCCTCTTGCTCTTGTGGATTTAAATTGCAGCCTTAGAGTTCTGTCTTTTTGCACAACCATTACGAATTTCAATAGAGACTTTGTAAAGGAAAGAAGAATTATGTATGTTGTTTATTGCCTCTTTTTAGCCCCTGTGAAAAAGATATGAATTGTTCCTGAAGATAGGAAAAGTAAGGCTTAGACTTACCTGAAGGCACTAAAGCAAATTATAGAAATAAAAAGTATTATTTGTTCATTATGCGTTGCAAAATAATACTTATCAATAATATGATTTCACTATAGAAACGATGAATATTAAGGCAAGTAATTTTTGCAAGATGTTCTTAAATGTCTGCAAGAAATGCTACTCTAATTGTATCCCTTTAGAATCAGGAGAGACTCCTTCCATAGATTTACTTACTTATATACCACTTGGCAGCAGTCTGATTCGTAACAGCAACAGGAACAAGGCCTAGAAACAATGACATTTCCATCTCCAGGGGTTTCATGGTTATCTTCTCTGTGGTGCTTCATAGATTCATGACCTGACAGATCAGAAAGAAAAACACTTGATTGAGATTTGTCCCACTGCTTCATACTCCACATCTTCTCATATTGTTATTTATACAATTCACCTGGAACAGAAGAAGAAATGATTTCAAGTTAAATTTACTGTATGTAACTTAAAAAGCAACACTGAATACAAAGCCAGGTCTTCACCTGGTATTAAGCAAAGTTCATGAAATACGCTACTTAAAACTACTGAAAGAGCTCAGTATTTAATGCAAGACTGTCGTGCTGATATACTGGTACTGGAATGCATTTCCCACATAAAAGACCTAATCAGACTTTCATCCACCATCCTCCCTGGTTGAAGGATTTATGAACAGTCCTTGTGCAGTTTTCAAACTGGAGGGAGTAGGACTTCCTCCTTGTAGGTTCTAATGCCTGCTCACTGCTTCCCTGAGGGTATTCAGGATACAGGAGAAAGCAAATGTGTTCTGACTCAGACCACTTGAATAAAGGAGTATTTTGTATGAAGTATGTTTGAGTATTTTCATCCAAGAACGCTAGTGGAAAAAGACCCTTTCCTAACACTTATACTGCACCTATCTGTCTCAGTTGCTAAAATACCAAACTGAAAAGGAAAGGAAACCCACAGCTACTAGCAATACTAACAGAGGTTAGAAGCATGACAACCAGATACGGCAATTATATGTACACAAAGCATAATTACTGGCAAATTCTTTGATGAAAAGTATAAGCCCATCATCAAATAAATTACAAATCTCCTTATGTTGATTTCTGTATTTTTATGGAAGTATGCAATCCCTTGCATAGGAATAGCCTTTACTTTTAGCCCTTGTGAGAAAACAAAATACATCTGTGTAAACCTGTGCACAAAATCTAAAGTATGAAGAGGTAACTGCCAGGTAGTTTCAGCAGCAACAAGAATTAGATGAAAATTATCTTAAAATCTGCACCTATCTAATTATTAAAAAAGGAGGGAGCAAGTACAGAAACAGAGGGAAAATAACTGTAGACAGAGACATCAAGTACAGGAAACACTGTAGTCATCCAGTAAAACTTTACTGTGACAATTTTTGGTGGTGCTGACAGGTGCTGACAGTATCATTACCAAATGCTCTGTGAATGTAGAGTATCTAGAAGAAGGAAGAAGTTATATTCTCTCAAATGTAAGAAAGAGAAGCAGCACTCTTAAGGAGTCATTCTTGCAAAATGCTGACACATGGGAAAAAAAATCCAGGTAATCACTTGCTTTTTAGTTAATACAGTCACTGGCAATGTGACTTTTCCCAACCCTGCCACTTAGAAAACTGCCTGCACTTTCTATAGCTTGTGTCCTTGTGCCAAACAAAACCCCACTAAGCAGTCTGTCCAGCTGTCATTTAAAGGTGACAAAATTATTTTGTTATGGATTCAGTTATCTTCTGTATTCTGAAGATGAATTGTTTACACTAATCAAGGGCAGAATTGGCCAATGAGCGTTATTACAGAACATACTCAAAATGGAAAATAATTGCATTTTAAATAGCAGTCAACAGAACAGAGGGGAAAATCCTCTAAGTCCAATGAAAGTTTCTGATTCTATGATGCTACTCTGTTCTTTTCACCATGAGTTACCTGAACATGTATAATAAGAAAAAATGATCAAGATCCAGCAGAAAATACAAATATAGGATTTCAGCATCACAAACCTCTATGCATCCAACTTAGCAATATTTCTATTCAGCTCACTGAGACTCGTGGCAGGAATGCAATTACTGACACTGTGCAGGACAGCACCCTTGTAACTTCACAGAATTTCATGTGCAGCACAGTGTCCTTCTTCAAGACATTTATTCATTTAAATTACTTTTGTTTCACATTAAAATTCAATTAAATCAGTGAAATTCCCTACGGTGAGTTTGGACCTTTTGCTTCCTAAATTTTAAAATGCATGAATATTGAGAAATAGCTTCCTCACACACACACACACACACAAAAAAAAAGAAAAAAAAGAAAAGAAAAGAAAAAAAAGAAAGAAAGAAAAAAAGAATCCACACTGCTGGGCCCTGATCTCCAGTGGTCCTTTATTATTAACTCAAAAAACTTACTCTACTCCCTCTCTTAAAACTGAGCCACCATAAAGATGCAGATATGAGCAGAACAAATCTTCAGGCCAGAAAACTATTCCACATTTGAAGCTGACTTATACTGCCTTTCAGCGATCATGTATAGATAATAACTCTCTCTGAAATAGTACTGAGTTATACAAGTGCGATGCTGATACTTGTAAGTAATCTGACACTATTCTGTACAAGGACATCTCCTGTCTGAACGAGGTAGTTGCAGGATTCTAGGAATGATGTCAGTTGAGGTAGACAAGGATATTCCTGGACCGTTAAGAGAGGAGGCACTGAAGAAGGGGCCAGGGAACAGTTCTCATGCTAATTTATTTTACTTTGTAAACTAGTTGTGAGGTCTGACTGTGTTGGTTTGGTTGGTTTTTTTTTTGTTTTTTTTTTTCCTCCTTTCCTGGGCTACATTGTCTTTGGTTTTGAGGCCTATCTGTCATATTGAGGCAACAGACCCTCTCAACACTTCTCTTTGCTTTGATATGCAGCCTTGTCTCTTCCTTCTCCCTTTTTTCTTCAGGAATTATATTGCCGGAAAGGGTGATGATTTTCACAGCAAATAAAGAGGCCTTCTCTTAGCTTTATTGTCTTCAGAAGAAATGCTCTGTGAATTTTATGACCAAGGGGAAAGCTGTTCCCTTCCCCCAACTCAGAACTTGGCCACTCACAAAAATTGCTGAAGTGGGTGTGATAAGAGAGGATTGTTAAACTTTATCTCACAAGAAGTCTTCTAAGGCTGAAATATCTTATTTCTCCTTACTCTTAAATAATCACTACTTGCAAAACAGTTGCAATACTTTTGGCAAAACTTGCTGTTCTTAAATAGCTCACCCAACTCAGAAAATCTGCCCCCTCGACAAAGAGGCAGTTTTCAAAGCTCTTTATTTTAATTCCACCCAGCCACTGATAATCTCCCCAACCACCTGCAGTTCCAATGCTATGACAACAATACATTCCCAATAAAACTGATACTAAGTCGCTGATTAAAATGATAATCTGTCCTTAATAAAAGGTTAACACTGTCAAAAGGTAAATGCTGGTCATTTCACTCACATGAGTAACATCTGCAGGACTTTAGTCAACTAAAGGATTGGATTAAAATATTAATCTTTCACTGGATCATTACATTACATCATTATCTGACAAATGAAGAACATTCTTCTGCTGTCTCTGGGGTGATATATTAGTTCTACCTCAGATTTTACCCATGTAGTACTTCTTGAAATAAAATGCATCACTGTAATTGAAATGAGCAGAAGATCAGTAAGATTCACAACAAATGCCATATATTCTGTCATATATACCTGTTTAATAACAGGCTTTATTGCTGTTAACTTTAGAAAATAAATAAAAATCCAGTCTGCCTTTGAAATGAAATGCCACATGCAGAGTAACTCTCCAAGACAGCATCCAACAAAGGGAATGCAGAAGTCCCTCGCAGTCATTGAGACCTCACCAGGCCTCACCGAGAGCAAAACACGATATTGCTAGCAACAAGGGTTGTCTCTGAAGACTTCAGCAGATCTCTACAGCTCAGATAAGGGTTTAAACACCTAAAATCAGGAATAGGAAGCTATATCTTGAAATTTTCCATCTTGTTTTGGCAACAGAAGCACATCTGATGTTTGACTGTGACTTCTGAATGAGAACAGAGCTGAAGATAAGATCACCTTTCTCTTTTGTGTTCTCCATCTTAACAACACAAAGGAGACTAAGGAAACATCTTAAACATTTCTGTCCCACAGAATGACCTCAAGTTCTCATTTGAAGAGGAAAAAAAAAACCACAAAAACAGGCCAGAGATCTAAAGTTAAAATATATCAAATAAAGCATTAAAGCACCATAGGTGACCATATGTTAAACAAACAATTTACACTTCGAATGAATGAAAACAAATGTCATAGTGTTTCTGTGGACTGGGCTAAATAATTGCTGTTCTCCAGAGACTAACATTTTCACCATAATATTGTAAAATTAGCAGCACTTTTCACTTGATTATCTGAGTAAACATACATGGGCTAATTCTGCTTTTCACTACAGTTCTACGGTGATAGAAATGCTACTGAACTGCGAATGTCTGACCCAACCAAGCAGGCACAGTGTCCACAAGAAAATTAACAGATCACTTTAACAGTGTTGTTTTGGCTGCACAGAGGGAGCAGAAACACCAGCATAGGCAACAAACAAAAATGTTTACATTCATTTTTCCTACTGAAATATTCCAAGTAAACACATTGATGATCCCATAACAGTCCTATTACTGTAAACTCACTATTAATGCACAGTGCTTCCCCACAGTCAAAGAGCAAGAAGTACGGAAGCTGAATGACCAAATTCTAATATACATCTTGTAATGAAAGCTGGGAGGAATCCCAGAGAAAGCCTATCACATATAGTGAACCAGGCACTGCCTACAGATAGAGGTACTTTGTTTACAGCACTGCAGTGACCAGGACTTCCAGTGCTAAACACCTGTGCATCTAACATCTATACCAACAGTACAGAATGGGTCATCACCTTAAGAACCTTATCATGCATGTAGTACCATAGTGAGCCAAAAATTCTTACAATTTGACAACAAGGTCAAATCGTGGAAGAGAATTCATTACCATGTGATGTATGCATTTAGATAAAAAGTAGAAGGCAACGTTAACTTTAAACGTATTCAGCTATTAAAACAATGAAACTATGCCTTTCTCCACTGGTGGGGAAAAACACATTAACCTGTGAAACCAAATCATGAATTAAAGGATAAAGTACTTTGAGATTCCACTGCAATTCTGTACCTTGAATTCTGAGCTTTGGGAACTACTTCACAAGCTATGGAAGCTGGAAGAAAGGGCTGAGGAGCAACTTGACTTTGGTACCACCAATAAGCCCCCAGCTGTTCTGTGCTGCAGAGAAGACTGGATGCTCAGTGGTGACACTTCACGGAGAGCTGCTCAGAGAAGGACATTTTGCCAATTCACTGATGGTCTATCTTGGTGCTCTCCATTAATTACTCTCATCACCAGTGCAAGTATTTTAAGTTTGAAGTATGTCTTTTTCTGAAGAGTTAGGCATGCATACATTTTTTTCAAGAAGTGATCTGTAAGACAAAGATTAAAAAAGCCCTTGTATGAAGCTAAGTTACACCTGCAGCACAACCAGACTGCTACAGGCAGCAAGCCCCAGTATGCCTCCCATTTTATGTATGATCCAAGAGAATCTGACTCCAATGAGTTGTTCTTGCCTATCGGACAGGAAGGTACACAAAGCATAGTACCACTGTGCAATGCACAGCACAAATCACAGACCTCAAATGCATTCTGTCCCAGACAATTTACAGTCAAGATATATACATTTGAACAACAGATGAAAACAGACAAGGAAGCACAAAACAAACCAACAAGTCACTATTTGCAATCTCTGTAACATTGGTTTTAGCCCCCAAACAATCTAATCTTTCCAAAATGTAGGAAGACCTTAGAGCAGGGCTCAGGGGCCATGATTTTAGGCAGCTGTTGACCTCCAGCGTTTTGATTGCCTAAAATGAACATTAACAAGAGTGAAAAGGCTGGTGAGAAGGGAAGCATCAGCAGTCTCCCTCATTCTCAGTTGTGCTTAATGACTGCCAACATCTGTCCACACAGATGATCCTGTATGAAATCAATACATTCTAGCTACTTGCATCTGTGTTCACTTGCTCATGTCATTTGCTCTTACCTTTTTAAAGACCCAGTTACTGCTGAACCAAGTCTGCTTCAGCTGGCTGTACCCATATCTGAAATGTTATAGCCATACTGCCTGAAAAGGAACAAATGGTGCAATTCTAGCATTGCTGAACATCCTTTGTTAAGTATTGCTTTCCTTTCCTCTTTTTTTATTAACTGCCCTTTGAAAATTTATCTTACTATTCACTGAGATGTGAACAAGATGTGGTTAGATTGTGCTAGACTTGAAGGAAAAACACAGTCCCCAGATTCCAATAATAGCAACAGTATTGTATCAATATTTCTAGCAACAGAATCTGAAGTCCTTTGGAAGCTCTCATTATTTTCTATGTAGTAAAACATCCTTCACAATTCATCTCTGAATTAAGTAGCAGTCAATCAGCTTTAGGAGAGAGAAAAAAATCAATTCAACACTGGGCAGTAAGCCTGCATCAGAACTGGGAAAAGAACCCGGGCTTTCTGGCTCCTCATTCTTAACAAGAACCGCTTCTCTTTCCCACATGATAAGCCAAGGGTAATAAAGAATACAAGAATCAGTTTATCATCTATTTACTAAGGAGCAAATCCAAAAACTGATGGTATTACCCTCTTGTGTTGTAAATTGATACCAACTCCACTACAGTCAAGGAAGTTACTCTGGGTAAGTGCATAGAGAACCAGGCCTAAAATACCCACAAACATGTTTCAAATGTAAAGTCCGATATTTTATGTTACTGAAGTTAAAATATTCTAGGTTGAAGCAATGTGTTCTTCTTTCAAAACAGGTAAAACAAGAACAAGAGAGAAGTACCGAGTGGTTTACACAGACCATCAGAGATTAGAATTAGAGAAGGAATTTCATTACAACAGATACATTACAATCAGGAGGAAGTCTGAACTTGCTGCAAACCTAAGACTTTCCGAGAGACAGGTAGAGTATGGATTGCTCATTCAGAATTTCCTTTGCATTTATTATTGCTGAGAAGGAGATAACCACACTGGTTAAGAACACAGAAATGCTAATACCTCAAAACTAACGTGACTGAGTTCTCTTTGCGATTTAGGAACTCATACTATCCAGCTGAATGGCTTGATGGCTTTGTATGCATTCGTTTTGAAATATCCCATCAGCACTAGTTCAGCTTGCACGATGACAGCAGAGAGCTATGCAGCTGCACAGAAAAGACAAACAGAAGTCCAACATACAGTCTTGATCTGAGAAAACATCAACCAAATCCTGCCAGGACTTTTTGCTGTTCGGCTGGGTCAGTATTACTAGGGAGAAGCTTTTGCAAATATTTTCAAGTCCTGGTTGCACTGAAGTCAGTGGGAAACCTTAAACAAGGCTACTCTTAGTAGTGGCATAGATAGTGAATATAAGTGATGAATTCCAGTATGCTCAGGACACTGAAGATATTTAGGTCTTGGCTACTTTCTACCTTTTGTTTAAAATTCCCTACATACTTGCTAATCCTTTCTCATTTCCTTCCATTCCCTGCAAATTCCACTTCCTTTCCCACAACTTAAATCCATTCTTCTTGACAAAAAGACATAAAATACAATTTGCCCTGGAACGACTCGGTGCCATGTTCTTCAATCATGTAATTGTTGTGCCTGTGCCACCTCCTGCTACAGTAAAGCAGGAGCCGAGCCCCAGGCTCTCAAGCACCTCAGCTGACTTATGCCAAGCAAGATAAAATGCCCATCTAGATCTCCAGTACACTGCTAACGTGGTCTGAGCATGTTCTGTCCCATGTTACTTGGGGGTTTCTTAACACAGTACACTGAAGTAAGCATCAATCTTAAAAGATTCACTGGAAGGACTCCACAAATATGTTATCTCAAGACAGAAGAACAAAGAATGACACATAAACAAGAATGGGAAGAAGTAATATCTAATTATTTTTTAAGTGACAAATGATGCACTTCTGATATAGACAGGATACAAAAATAAAGGAGATGGTGAGGACAAGAAAGAAGAGCTAAAATTACACTTGCACAACTAAGCAGTGGCAAAAATATTGTAAAAGGATAGCAACAGGTAAAGAACAAGTCCACATAAATACAAATCTGTAACATTAGACCAATAGCTTACTTGATTTGATAACTGGTATGCAACCTTTAAATGCCTACTAAAACCTCTCTTTGAATCTCTGCTGCAGGTCTCTACATCTAGTTTAATAATGAAAGAGAATAAAACCCCTAAATTCAAAGCAGATAACACCAAACAAGAAGGCAATTCTGAATCAGCTATTAGTATGGTTTTTAGATAGTTTCATCTCTTCATATATTCTGTCAAATGATGGGAAAAGCTAGATTACCACAGTGTAGTCAGAATGTAGGATATTGAGACAGCTTTAATAGAAGATGAACACCATTGACTACTGAAGTGATATTTCAGAAATTAAGATGACAAAATGAACTGCCACATGTTTGAGATGACAGCCTGGGACTTAACAAACCTGGGTTCAAATTTCTACAAGCTTTATGTGCACCTGGAATCTTCACATTCAGCAGGGTATAATAATGGCTCCAGAAAAGTACACTGAAACTGTCACAGAGTCCTCATGATGTCTTGAGGGACTTCACCACTAGATTTCTTTTAATGGCCACAGATACTACGACTTTTAACAGTTTTTCATTCTTTCTGATTGTCTGCCAAGCAGCTAGAAAGGAAAAGAAAACAAATCAATATTTCTCAGCAAACCACAGAATTTTCTTTGCATTATTTAAAATAGTTGACAAAAAATCCCACATCAGGAATTCCTATTTAAAGACATTTCAGTTGCCACAGAATAGTCACCTTTTCATACCTGAACAAATTCTGCTACATTTTCAATCGAACATTGTTAGTTTCACCTCACACCCTCACCTGTTCTGTCCCAATCAAAATCCATATATTCTTCAACAGTTCATCTCTTCTCAAAGATTGCATTTCTGTGACAAAGCAATGACTAAGAAATAGAGTCATGGACTGTGTGGGAAATAGCAGCAGATTTTGACTTCATCTACATGTGCAAGAAAAAGTGCTTAGCTACTAAGGCACCACTTCTATAATACTCTGAAGTTAAACATACCTTCAACAGCACACTGGTGAATTTCTGCTCACCAGTAAATTTCCGTTGGCTTACACACTGTATCAAAGGAATTAATGTTCAGCATTCAAACAGGAAATCTTTCCTCCATTCATAGGCCAATAAAAGGCTTTGAGTTGCTCTGACTTAGAACATATAGTGTTCAAAGTAAAGGTACTTTCAAATTCTTTTGGCCACCATTGTGATGCATTAGGTTCTATTTGACCTTGTACACAAAAAAAACCAAACAAACAAAAAAACTCATTTCAAAAATACCTTCTAGGAATAAATCGCTAAAAAAACTATCAAACAAAATATTTTATTATCAGAGAGAAAAGATTATCTATGTGGAAAAAAATACATAAAAGCAAGCAAAGAGCTCAGTTGTCCTAATTTGATACTGCCTTTCTCACTGCTCCACATGCAGTTGATTTTCTCCTATGCCCCTTGACTACACACATTAAGAACCACACTGCATTCTATTAACAACTGTAAAAAATTTCCTCTGCTCCTCTGCAGGTGAAAATCTGGTTCCAGAACCGCAGAGCCAAAGAAAGAAAATTAATGAAGAAGAAAATGACTCATTTTGATGGCAGCAATCTTGGCTCTATGCAGAGTGACTCTGGCTCAGTGAGCCCAATGCCAGCTCCTGATCAACAGACTCACTCAGAAATGCCCAGCTCTTTGTTTCCTCCTCCACCTCCTCCAGCTCCGCTTCCGATGAACGGCCTGCAGCACACTGGGAACCTGCAGCAGGTGGTGGCCTCTCAGTAAGACTGGCTGAGGAGCTGCTGCTTAACAAACACTATGAACTACCGGTACACAGAGCACTACGATATGAAAGAGGACATCTGCAGCTGTTTTGCAGGGGTCCCCAGCATGACACAGTTCTGTGCACATAAGCTTCAAGTTCAGTAAATCAAGAGTCACTTGCCAGGTCTGCAGGATAGTGCAAGTTCCCAGCGGCCCTGCAACTGCTGTGTGTCAGGAATCCTAGCTGCAGAGAACCTCACAAGAGAACGCCACAAGGCAAGCATCCCTGCAGCAGGTGGGCAGGCACAGGAGAGGAGAAGAGCCAAGGGCTAGAGTGGCCACTTGTTAACCATATTCTGTGAACAAACAAAGCACAAAAGAGGCCATAGGCAATATGACATGGCTAGGCTGTGATAGTAGCTTAACGCAAGTGCTCTGTCCCCTGCCCCTAGGTAAAGAGTGTATTCCTTCTCCTTCCATCTCCACACAGGTTCCATGTACTAATCTCACTTTCACTGGCGTTACACATGGACCTTGATAAATGACAACTTGGCTTAATTGTCTTGACCCACTTGATGGAAAGCCTGAGTTGTGGTGGTTGCACTCACTATGTTTTAAGGGTAAAGGTCACGGATGAGCTTTTTGGATTTGGTTTGTTTTGACAGGTATGATTTTCAATGCTCCCTATTCTGGTACAAACATGCATGCATCAATCTTACCAATCTTTCCAATCTTTCTGGAAATGTGAATCTTGGCCTAATCTCCATCATTTTTGGTGGAGATTGCATTTTGTGAGACAGCATAACCCCGGACAAAGATGCAATACTTGCATTCAACTAATGTTATATTTGGAGTGATTTTCAGAGCTACTGTGATACTAAAAAAAAAAATAAATTAAAAATCTGAGAAGCTAAATTAATAGAAGACAAAGCAAAAATATTTTACCTGGGTATAAGCTCTTGCCAATTTATAAGTGGGCACGTAATACTAATCTCCTAAACCCACATCTGAGAATCTAAATAGGAGGTTCCCATTCCCAAATGCTGATCCCTTCCACACTAAGCAGACTTGGGAAGATAATCGCTACTTAAGAATAATCTGGATATCTGCTTCCTGACTTGACTACCAATTACACGTCCATAATCTCTGCCTGCAAAGAGAAAATGTTTGAAGCACTCGGGTAATTTGGGAATTTATACCCCCCTTTGCCAAAAGCTATTTAGAAGTTTAGGATGCTTATGCTCATGAATTTCCATCGAAGTGTCCTCCTAAATATCTCCAACACTGTTACAAATAAGACTTAGGAACATTAAGTCATTTTGGCACTACATTTTGTTTTTTTCTTAATTATAACAAATAGTACTATTAGATCATCAAAATGTAGGTAATGTAAAGTTACTTTGTATATAGAGAACATTAAAATAAATGACGTTTTCAATGATCATTTGCCAATGTGATATTAGCTACTGTAGAAAATGAACATAATTTCCATGAACATCCTGTCGCTGAATTGTAGCATCAAGTTGAAAAGCAAGGAGATGCTTAGAAAAAACAGAGAATGGTGAAACCAGGCTGACTCAGGGAGATGGCAGTTTTCACTCTCTCTCTCAATTTTACCTAGAATTTTCTGGTTGTAACAAGGACAGCATGAAAGAAGAGTAAACTTAAAAGGGATGCACATCTACATTGTAAAATTCCCACACTTTTCCTTCCATTGTGCTGCTAGCAAGAGTACTTTGAAGCTTTGTGTTGGTAAGATAAGCCAAATTAGATGAAGAAACTCAATTAAATACAATTCAAAGTTCAGCAACAGAAAAACTTCTAGTGTTTCTCACGTATTATGAAAAGCAGAACATGACAAATAGCACTTATGAACAGGAGTGATTTAACATCCACACTGATGAGCCCAGCCATCAAACTGAAACATCGATCTCCCAAGAGATACTTACTGCATATGTCTAAAAGAAGAATCCATTGCACAGAACAGCCATTCTGTCTACAGAGGGAAATGCTACAGATATCTTACATACAGTTCATAGGCATATTTTAACTTAACTGATACTGAAAAAGATTCAAGAGAAAAGCAATCTTGATTTGGCCAATTAAACAGAATTAAAGTTGCATACCAAAGAAAAATCAGTAAAAACATCCAGATTTACAATTTAGAACTTGTCAAAATACAGAAAGCAGCTTTGTTTTTTGTAATGATATACAATAATGTGATACCTAGCTCTAGCTAAATGCACCAGAGTCCCAGGATTTTGCAGGATCAAATTCATTGTTAGATTTAATCACATTTCCATGACATAGTTTGATTTTGTAATTGATCTTTTAAAATAATATATTTTAAAAACATTTTAAAAACGAAAAGAAAATAAACCTGAACTCAACTTCTTTCTCTTTAAAATTATTTAAACATCATTCAAAGAGTGAGGGATCAGGCAAAACGACCTGTTTTATCTTGTTTACATGTAGAAGAGTTATTGAGGAAGATAAGTGACTACTTTGAAGATCTGCCTCATTTCTGCCCCAGTTTGCTGAAAGCATGCTTGCTATAGGTTGCTATGTGTTTCCAATCAGAAGTTGTTAAGTACACAAAATAAGGCTGGATTTTATTTGCAGAAGTACATGTTCAAAGGTTAAAATTTATTGCTCCAAAAGCAGTATCTATAAACCAGGGCAATACCTTAGGGATTATTAACCCTCTAGTTATGCCAGTGATTGTTTTATGTGGTTTAATGTTTTGTTTTGTTTTTTTAACTTACTAACAATCTATTCAAATAGTTATTTTCCAATGTGCTTTAATCCTTTAAAAAGATGTCCACCAAAAAAACAGTAAGCTATTTTTCATTAAAAAACTTGCAAAATACTGTTGCATAGCTAAACTAAAAATAAGATGAATCAAATCGGAGGCAAATAACTCCAATATTTTGAGTCATGAAATACCTCCGAGTGCTACTTGCTTCCCTTCCAACACTGGGCATATCACGTAACCTGTCACTTTAGCACATCTATAAAACTAGAGACACTAAAGCAAAGTTGCTGTGAAGATGGATTGGTTGTTAGCAAAGTGCCTTGAAGAAGAAAAGCATACCGTGGGCTACATCACAGGAATATCTAAGCCCTTAATCCTAATTGTGATTAAAGCAACAATCAAGGTATATGCAATTTTCAGAGGAATTCACTAACCTTTAAACCCCATTACCCAGAAGGAAGGGTATGGCACAAAAAGATCAAGAACATACCTGGCAGGATCTCCTTCAAAAACTTTATGCAACTAAGAAAGCCATACAATTCAAAATGACATTTCCAAACAAAAGAAAAAAAGCATCTCAGATAGACAAATAGATTCATTCTAGGTGTTAACACAAACAACAAAAATCATGCTTTTATGTGCACTGAGATGTTGCATCTCTGAAGGACTTGGATGGCTTGTCATGTTTTGGAAATGGAACTGGATGTTATTAGTGGAACTCAAAACTGTGTTGACATCACCATTAAAAGAATAGGCACTGTTTTAATGGTGAAAATGTTTCCCCAACTGTTTTAATGATCAAAGAGCACAAATAACTTTTTTGTACATTTTGTAACAAACCATTCTGTGAAGTACGTCAAAATGGAGAGGCTTAACTTAAATTTATCCTGCATGCTCCTGGCCCTCCAGGGCAGGAGGGACTTGATACAAACGACCTCCCATCTGAGAGCAAGGAAGAACAGTTAAATTTCTGTGGCAGAAAGACTGGTCTGTCAGGAATATAAGCCACATGTATAGTAAGAACTGTAAACAGTAAAAGCGATCAATTCCTTTGTTTCCTTGTCAAAAACAAAGACCACACTCAAGGAACATCCAAAGGACTAAATACTGAGCACCAAACAACCCCCATCTAGCTGTATTCCAGTCAGGATGAATTAGCTAAGTGGGAAACCCACACTGCAGGTTCAGGAAGGAAACCAAATATCAACAGAGGATCTGCTGATCCTTTTTACAGCTCTGCTAAAAAGGATCAATTTAACATGCATTTCACATACAGGTTCTTTAAAACCTGCTGCGCTAAGACTGTTTGCTGAGCAGTAAGACACACTTTTATTACTGTTTGTATTGATTTTGTAACAGATTTTAAATTGTCTCGATTTCAGATCAGAAGACACACTTCCCTAGCACATGCAACACTGGTGCAGATCACACATGACACGTACTGCCACTACCTTAGGAAAATGGAAAAATTAACACTAGGAAATGAAAGCTAACTCACTGTTAGCAGCAGTCAGAAAAACAGCTATAAGGGGCAGGAGGGTAAACATGATCACCATACTCCCAACAGTTCACTTTTCAGTATCAATAATTTTTCAGAAGGATTTGTTAACAAGCAAAATCTAAGAGTATGGAATTCAACATTGCAATATCGAGGAAGGTTTCATGACAGTTGTCATTTCTATTTCTACTTGTTTATACGGAGTGGAACTACTGAAATCTCTCCCTTTTCCCCCCAGAAGAGCTAAACTTCAGCAAGTGAAAGCAACTCAGTTACCATAGCTGATTCAGCTCTCTGAGCTGTACCACACTTGTCAGTAAGGAGAACAATTTGGCACGGTCTGGCATCTCATACCCTAAAAACGAGACCTAACTAGACTGTCATATATTAAACCATCTCAATTAAAATGAGTAAATAACATTTTCAGGATAGTTGTGTTTGTAGAAGCTCCCATGAAAGCAAGATCACTCTCTTCAGTGGTTGTTTTAAAATTTAGAAGCCAAAGCCTTCATTCCTGAATTAATAGACTTTTTTGTTCCATCAAAACTGACCTCAGCTAACAGCACACTCTGTACTGACTGTGCTATCCCTCAGATTTATACAGCTATTAACGTTATGAGGATTGAGTGTGCATTTAAAGCCTGGTTTGAATAAAGGGTAATGTCTCTGAAATATTACATTAAATCCATCATTAATATGATAGCTCCCTAGCTAACTCCTTAGCCAGCCATTCCACTGAAATTGTAGGCATGCAGTTACACAGGTGGC